ACTTAACGTGATTGGTAAAAAGGAATAACTATGTTACTCGAATAAATGTGCATGATTATTTGTTTCCTGTTGTATTTATCATTTTACATCTAAACTAAAGAAAATACGAGTACATTATAGCTTTAAAAACCATTTTTGTTATATTCTCATTGGAAAGTTAGTCATTCATAAATGAGAGATTATTTGCCTATGTTTGGTCTGATAATTAACCATGAGAAGAGCATCAAATCAGCTAAACAAAAATATAAGGATAAAAAACTACAAAACTAATATGACAAGTTGACAACTATTAATATATAGAGAAAATGGTCAAATGCCCCCCTCCACCCCTCCGCCCAATCTATTATCGGATTTCCAACTACACACTTCAACTTTACAGATGTCCTATCACCCTCCTAAACTGTTTAAAACTGAAATTATTACACCCTTAAAAAGCAACAATCACATTTATATTGACAGGTGAAACTCACACGTTTGACACGTGAATTTCTTTAAAAACTATTATTTTTTTACCTTTTTCTCCTATATTTTCATCTTCCCTTCCAATACCAAAAGTCTTTTCATCATTTTTTTCTTTCATTGCAAACAGAAAACTCCACCAATTAACCTATGACACCACCCACTTCCTACCACCAACATTACCAAGTCCTAAATCTTTTGACATATCAAAAAGCATCAATTATTAATGCTTCTTTTCTTTCTTTACAATTGCCCATAAATTAATTCATATCTTTTTGGAGGAACTCTAAATAATTTGACGACTTATAATGGCAAAAGGAAATTTTTAACTATCTTCCGAAATCATTAGATCTGAACTCATTTAAAAATTAGCGTCACACCATCTCATCACAAAATAACCCAGCTAGCTGTCGTCAACGGGCGGTAGCAATGACAGTTTTGAAGAGGAAAAGGCCAGCAAAATTTTCGATCTATATATGTTTCATACACTTGATTGATTCTAGATAATTTTTATGGATGTATCTGTTAAATTGCTCAAAATGAGGCTATGTATACATAAAAATGCGACATTGATCTTTTCAGTTTCATTCTCAAAATCACATGTGGGTTTCGTTGAAAACCCAAAATTATTTCTGGGTTTGAAATAAAATTGCCAAATCGAGGCATCGAATAATCAAGATATGAATTTCCAACCTAATCGGTCTTGTGGGTTGGCATGTAAAGTGATGATTAACAACTCCAATAATATCAATAAGGAATTGATTTTCAAAATTTTCTAATTTCATACACAAATTGAAAAATACAAATTCAAGAATCAAGAGGAATACTAAAATTTCATTGTCAATTATGTGGAGATGGTAGTGACGGTGACGATGGAGAAAATAGTGGCGGTGGAGATTTAGAGATGATGAGTGGTGGAATTTGATCTATGTTGTAATGAAGAAGAAATAAACAAATAAAGAAGAAAGAATAATTATAAATACAAATATTTCTGAAAAGAAATATTAAAAATATAAGTTTACTATTTGATTTTGGTGCGCACTCTCTCAAGGAGAGTGAAATGCACTCACTTTGCCACATAAGCGTTTAGGGAGATGATAATTTCAATTTTAAATAGTTTGGGAGGGTGATAGGACTCCCGTAAAGTTTAAGAGTGTAGTTGGAAATCCGATAATAGATTGTGGGACATTTGACCATTTTCTCTTAATATATATGTAAAGCATTTGAGACGTTAGTAAAGTAGTGAATAATCAAAAGCACACTAAAGAATTAATTTTTTTTTGCAAGTTTCATACCTAAATTATTATGTCGTTCCGTTCCTTCGAAGCTTTGATCAAGTGTTTGAATATGATTGTTAAAAGATACGTGACAAGTTAATATGTCTGCAAAATTTTGTCTTCATGATATTTGACTCATTAATTTCGACATGTATTTTAATTAAAAAAATAGTGATAATTCAAATATGTAAAATACATGATTATTCAAATAAAAAACTTGTAAAAATATATTACTCTCTCCGCCCCATTTTATGTGAGACCTTTTACTTTTTAATCTGTCTAAAAAAGAATGTCATCTTACTATAATTATTAGAACAATTTAACTTCCTCTTTTACCCTTAATGAAATAATTTACAACTACACAGATATCTAAGAATTATTTTGAATCACAAATTTTAAAAGTTTTTCTTCTTTTTTCAAACACCATACAAAGTTAAACGATACCATATAAAATGAGACCTAGAAAATAATACATATGTGTCTTTTGTCATTATCTTTGCCCAACTAATCCATTGGAAAAAATTGGGATTCAATGAATTGCATTCCTCCATCCACCAACTTTAGCTGAATAAAGGGAAAATGCATAAGTACCCCCCAGCCTATGCCCGAAATCCCAGAGACACACCTACCCTTTACTAAGGTCCTATTACCCCCTGAACTTAATTTATCTATAATATTCTACCCGTTTTTGGCTTACGTGACACTATCTTGTGGGCCCAACGCATGTTGACAAATTTTTCAAGGATAGTGCCATGTAGGCCGAAAAGGGGTAGAGTATTAGAGATAAATTAAGTTCAGGGGGTAATAGATAGGACCGTAGTAAAGGTTAGGTGTGTCTCTGGGATTTCGGGTATAGGCTTGGGGGTACTTATGCATTTTCCCCTAAATAAATTGTGTTTCTAAAAAAGCTTTCATCTTGACCATAAAAGTTTTTCTTATGAAATAACAGAATATGAAAAGTTAGAAAATTAATATTTCTCTAAACCAATATGTTAAGGTTGTTCCATATTTTATGTGAAAAAATGGACCCCAGATATTTCAGAAAGAATTGTTTATAAACACAAAACTAATTTTAAATATTAAAACTCAACTAGGTCAGTCAACAAAAGGTTTTTTTGTTTTTGTTTTATTTGATTTGTATTTGAATTGTTCATATCTCAACTTATTATAATTTCATAACAATTATTTATTTATGCTGAATAGGTTTAATGGATTCAAATTTTATATAATTTTTGAAATTATTATGATAATATTCATTTAAAGATTTTTTTAAAGTAAACTTTTTGCTAGAACTCTATCTAACCCCCAAAGCCCAACCTTACTGGACACAAATTTTTAAAAAGTAATAGAAAAATTTTCATTTGTGATTTTAAATTAAAAATGTGTGTATATATCAAATTTATTCTTTTTATAGTTTTAAATACACATGGTAAAATTTTGAAAGTAAGGATTTACTACTCAATGTAACCAATAACATTATTTTTCAAATATTTTTTCTTTTCAAAAAGTAACACAATTTAATTAAAACAGAAAAGTAGTTGTAGTATATCATATGCATTTAGATTGAGAAAATGATCAAATGCCTCCCTAATCTATAGTCGAATTCTCAACTACACACTTATATTTTACGGGTGTCCTATTACCCCCTTGAACTATTTTAAAGCGGAATAAATGCACCCTTAAGTGCTGACATGGTGCAAAGAGTGTGTTCACTCTCTTAAAGACATGTGAGAGATAAAGAACTGATCAAAAAAATATTTTAAAAATATTTTAACTTTTTGTTAAATACATTTTCCAACTTTTGCCTTTAATTTTTTATTTTTTTTACTTTTTTCATTTCTTTTTCCTTTATCATTTTTCCTCCTCTCTCTCTCATCACTCAACACCCTCCCTACCTATACATCTCCACCACCATTGTTGAATCACTATGGCAGCCCCATCTCCTCACCCATCTTCTAATCCATTTTCATAATTTGTCTCACAATTACTCTCAACCATCAAAATCCCCAAATAATCATTAAAACTATTATTTATATAGTAAAAAAATAAATTAAAGTCATTAATTTTCTTGCTCAGACAAAATTTATCAAGCTTCAAATCTTATTTTTTGTCTTTATTATTGTCTGATGAAGAATCTAAATTACACACAATAAAAATTTCACGAAGTTGAGCAACAACAATCAATTGATTCTACTCAATCCCGATAATTCAGTGATTTCTTCTAGTGTAGAAAACCTAAATCCTCCACTATTTAAAAATAAATAAAAGGGTGTATCCATCCTCAATCATAAAACGAGTAGCGAGAACTTCAAGCTTAAGATTGCTATTACAATTGTGGAATTTGAGTGGGAGAGGTGAAAATGGAGGTTTAAATAGTTAATAAAGTAGTTGTTGTGGTGTTGCTGATGAATATTGATATTTAATTTGTGGGTTATAAAAGGATGGAGTGGGGGTGGGGAGTGATTAGAGAGGAATGGGGTGGAGAGAGATAAAGGTTTTGGGGAGTTACATGTAAAGAAATTGAAGCATGTCTTAGGAAAAGTGAAGAGAGGAGAAAATGAAGAAGAAGAAGAAATATAATTACTTTTATTTTATTTTATTATATACGTGATATTTGACAACTAGCAACGCGTGGTGCACACTACATGGAAAGAAGTTGTATAGTTTTAGGGTGGTTTATATTCCGCTTTAAAATAGTTTAAGGAAATAATAAAATTTTCGTAAAATATAAGTGTGTAATTAAAAATTCAATTATAGGTCAGGGGATCATTTGACCATTTTCTCCATTTAGATTTATAGTACACTTTTAATTTTAACTTTGGAAAAAAGGGAACCTTAGTGGAATCTCTTGCCTCTACCAAAACCATGGGCCTTGCACTCTTTATAAGATTTTTATTTTTATTTTTTATGTATTTACTTTTTCAAATTTCGATTGTGAAAATTATAACTTTGCCACTAATTATAGTTATTCTCTCTGTCCACTTTTAATTATCATGCTACATTTTTTGAAAGTTAATTTAACTAATTTTCAAAGTTAAATTAAATTACATTAATTCGATATTTTAAATATTTAAAACTACATTATACATTTCAATTTTTTGCATATCAATATGTAAAATGTTAATCAAAGTTAAGTATTATTGTTTGAAACTATGACAATTAAATGTGGACGGAGTAACAAATAAGTAAATTTTAGTGTCATTCCCCTTTTATAAAAGCCGGTCACATACAGAGTGAGAGAGACAATAATCGGAGCAGAGATTTTTTTTTTTTTGAGAAATTATCAATGGAGGACATAGAGAGCGTAGCAAAAGCTGCACTTGAGAAATTGAAGGAGATGAATATGGTGGAAAACGCAAAGGAGATCGTCAAAAGAACATCGCTGTTTGTACCGGAATATGCGCGGATCTTATTTGATTGGTTACTGGAAAATCTGAAGCAGATTGTCGTGAAAACGACGCCGTTCGCACGAACCTCATCGGACTGGTTACTGGAGAAAGCTCCTCCACTGATATCTACTTCGATAAATTCGATCCGTATAGCTCCAATATATTACACCATTCCAATCGGATTTCTGCTGATTTTGTTCCTCCGCCGGTGCTGCAGCGGCGGCGACGGCGGAAACGGGAAGACGATGAAAGCTCCGGGAAGGAATAATGTAAGGATGACCAGGCGTGATTTTGAAAAAAGTCCTAAATCCTATTTCCGCGATCTCCGCTCCCGAAAAAAATAATTTCGGTATAATTATTTGGTATTCGATATCTACGTATTTTGTTTAATTTTTAAGTTCGAACTCGAAATGTTTAGTTAAAAATGAAGGTATCTCATCTCTCGTGATATCACTTATGGTGTGGATTTATGTAATTTTGTATACTATGTGTTTGTATTTCGAAATTTATAAATATTTTATTATGAATTTAGTTATTTTATACTCTTTCCGTTCTATTTTATATGTCACATTTTTATTTTGCATTTGGATTAAAAAATAATGTAACTTTACCCTTCTATTCTTATTTAATTTTTTTGAAACTCAAGTTTTCAATCGATGAATATGAATTAATTTATTTTGATTAATTAATTTAACTAATGAACATGAATCATTTATTTAGCTTTTCTAAGTTGGTCAAATGTATATTTTTAAGGCTAATAATTCACAAGGATGAAAAAGGAAGAATATTGTAATTTATGCATTAATTTTATGAAATGACAAGTATTATGGATCAACTATTTATAAAAAGGGATGACATATAAAATGAAACGGAGGGAGTATTTATTGAAGTGGGACAGGCTTAGATGCATCTACAATCCAACAAGTTGTTGCTTTATCAACTGTATCGATCCAATAATTAATGTTGTTGGATGAAAGTTAGGTGATAGAAATTAATATCAAACCTTGTGAAATTGTTTATGTACACTATTAATCTGAAAAAAGTTTGTATCAAAGAGAGAAAACTAAAAGGCGAATTAGTCTTGAATCGAAGAGTAAAGGTAAGAGTCGCATACATTCTGTTCTTTTTCAATTGTGGAATTACGTTGAATATGTTGTTGTTGTTGTTGTCGTAAGTAGAGTGATGGAATTTGGAAGAGGTGAATTGAAGGTAAGAGGTACAGCAGTAATGGAGAAGATGAAATCAATAGAAGATATTTTGAAGATGTTGATGGAATCCCCAGTAGGATTTATCATTTCAATTGGGTTGATTGTGATTTTGTTGTCCTTAATTTGTCGTTGCTGCTGCAGAGGAAATAATAATAGGAGAAATGTGGAGATGATGGGTCGTAGGAAATATTATTGAAGTCAGTGATCGTATGAAAAATTTAACATCTTATATATACTAGAGTTCATTTATAATCTTTCAACAAAGGCGATTCAATTGTTCCACTGGCTCCCCCCCTGATTAGAGGAGTGTACTAATGAGTATTGTGTTGGCTGCACCACCATGCCCACAGTCTGTAATTCCTTTCTTTTTGAATTTGAAGTTAGGAGGGTATTACACGAGTTTGTAAATCGAAATGAAAATCGAACGTTTCCTAGTTAAAAAGTGTGGAATTTCGTTTGAATTATCATTTGTCAGGACTCTTTCGCATAAGTTGCTTGATTTGGATATAAGGCATTTATTCTGTTATTATTTTTGTATTCTCTGTAACGGATAATAACCACATAGTAGTAGAGATTGATACAATTCAATTCAATATTTTGTTCGTTCAAATTTGATTGTGTCGTGTCGGATTAACCATTGATATTACCCAAATAGTAGTATGCAATTCATCTCATTAATTCCCACATCTTTTAATGCCTCAATTTTCCAATCGACAACAGGGGAACCGTAATAGACATTCAATAACATTAAATATATATTTATTAAATTCACCCGAAATATTTAGTGAAAAATGAAGGTATTCATATATGTCACGACAAGTGATTATTAATCTTATAAAAGTGTAAGTTTCGTCACGTAATTTGATTGTGTATTGCAGTACGCTTGAGTATTATTTTTTTTATAATTTGAAGTGTTTTGGTTTGATCATAGATTTTTGAAATATGATTACATTGTATTTTACATTGAAAAAATTTAATTTTTATGAGTAGAAATTGAAATTTGAAAATCAAAAGTGTTTTAAGATTCTTCATTATTAAGTTACCTTATTTTGTCTTTTTTCTTTTGGGTCAATTACTTTTTGGTGACAAATGACAATGTAGCAATAGCTATTTTGAATTTCTAAAAATATGACTTACTACAATCACGCTCACAATAATCTTGGGTAAATTTAATAATTTTATGAAATCTTTATGCTAAATTTTTATTTTTATACAGGTGATCTTGGTAAAGTTATTTTCTTATCAAATGTTTCATTTTCACTCTTTTTTTTTCCTTCCCATATATATATGTTTAACCTAGCTAGTCGAGTAGTAGTACATTTAGAATTTATTTGGATTGATTTATTTCAATTATGTTAATTTGAAAATATTTTTAGTACAGTATTATTTGAATAAATTAAAAAATTACTTATATAAGTACTTAATTTTAAGCTAAAATAATAAAAGTCAAAATCCAAAATCATAAATTTAAATTTCTAACCTATAAACAGAAAAACCCAATATCTAATTCAAACATATGCTTACACTTATAGTCAATTACTCTCTCGGTTCCTAATTACTTGTTCACTTTTTCTTTTTTAATTGTACCTAATTACTTGTCTATTTTGACAAATCAAGAAAAAACATTCTTTTACCTATTATACCCTCAATTCATTATTTTGAAAAAAATAGAAATTCTTGAAAATCTTAAGTTTTTAATTCATCATTTCACAAATTAATAAGGGTAAAATGGTAAACTCACTATGTCAATCATTATTTTCTTAATAGGTATATCAATTTAAAAGTGGACAAGTAATTAGGGACAAAAAAAATAGTCTTTAACTAAATAATTGTTTATTTAAAGTCTTATAAAAGTGAAAATATTACTATTATCTTTTGTACTAAAAAGAAAACTTGGGTGGAAGATGTGTCCCACATGCCATGAGACTAAAAGAAATGTAGAAGGTAAATTACTAGGAAAAAGAGACACAAAATTTTATTTTATAGGGAGATATCATTCTTTTTTACAAATATATCTTTTTCTTTCTATCAAGAGATCTAAATAGAAAAAAAATGGTTATGGAGGAAATAATGAGCTTTGTGATGGACAAATTGAAGGAAGCCATACTCATATTGATGAATTTTGGTGGTCAAGTGCTACAAAAAATGATGAATTTTATTGGCCAATTGCTAATGAAACCCGTAAACTTGGTCGGACAAGGGCTATTGTTCCTCAAAAATTTTGGCTGGCAAATACTATTGTCGCTGCTAAAAGTTTTCAGTCAAGTGCCACTTGCCCTCAAGAATTTCGGTTGGCAAGTATTATTGTCACTACAAAATGTTTTCGGACAAATGTCACTTGCCCTAAGAAATTTTGGTTGGCAAGTACTATTGTCACTGCAAAATGTTTTTGGACAAGTGTCACTTGCCCTTAAGAATTTTGGTTGGCAAGTACTATTATTGCTACAAAAAGTTTTGGGGCAAGTGACACTTACCCTGAGAAATTTTGGTTGGCAAGGAGTACTATTGTCACTGCAAAATATTTTCGGACTAGTGTCACTTGCCTTTAGGAGATTTGGTTGGCAAGTGCTACTAGTGCTTGAGAATTTTGGTGGGCAAGCGCTAGCAGCGCTTGACAATTTTACTTGGCAAGTGAAGAGTTTATATGTACAACTTATGAATTGGTTCGACGAGTTGTTTCCACCAGAGACAAGAATTGAGAAGATCAATCACTGGTTTTACGTAGCTTTACCCTATGTCATAATCGCGGTATTTCTAGGTATCTTCATATATTGTTGCTACTACCATGGCGGATTACTGCGCAATATAATGTATGATCTCAAAATAACGTTAGTTAGACTTTTTAACTACGTAAACAATCTCTATACAAGTTGGAGATCAAGCAAAATGATGAAAGCTCCAGGCAGAAATACTAGAATTCCAAGAGCTAGTTTTGAGATTGATCCTAAAAGATATTTCCGTAATCTTCGTGCTAATCCTGGTGATATGCTTGTCTAGCTAATTAGTAGTACTTAATTAGCATTTTTATTTGATGCTAATTAAATGGTCTATCTATGAGTATGAATTAACTATATAAATATTGTCTATGAATACGCCTCTACAAGAATGTAGTTTTTTTTTACAACTTTCATGTAATATGTTAAATCATAATATTATATTTGTCGTCGTTGTCCTTAATTTGTCGTTGCTGCTGCAGAGGAAATAATAATAGGAGAAATGTGGAGATGATGAAGGCTCAATGTCGTAGGAAATATTATTGAAGTTTGTAACGAAGTTAGAAATTCAAAAAGATAAATATGTCAAACGAATTCAAGATCTAAACTTGATCGTAACTTTTAATATGTTTTGAGCTTGAAAATATTGGGTTTGGATGACCTAGCCATACTAATGTGTTGGCTTCATCACCATGCCCATTGCCTGTAATTCCATCTATCAAACTTGATCGTAACTTTTATTTAACTATATTAATAATATTAATCATGTTTCAAATAATAAATGAAACAGGAAGGAGTATTATCTTTCGTACGAAAAAAGTAAAAATAAATGAAAAAGTGAACATGATTTGAGGAAAGATGTATGAGAAAATGACCAAAATGATCCTTAATAGATAGTGATTATTTTGATCTTTAATATATTTCACTTTAATTTGAAATGTTCTTTAATTTAAGATAAAAAATGTTCATTTTGATCTTTTATCTTAAATCTAACAAATTTATATATAAAAAAATTAATCATAATGAGTAAGGCTCCCTTCAATTTCTCCATCACAAAGCTTATTATTTCCTCCATAACCATTTCTATTTTTCTATCTTGAAAGAAAGAAATAGATTTTATTAATTAGTAAGAACGTATATATGATCTCTCTATAAAATATAAAATTGTGTGTCTATTTTTCCTAGTATTTTACATTCTACATTTCTTTTAAGTTAAGAAATCTTAATTTATAATTTATAATTTATACTTTATAATTTATACTTAATTTATAAAAGTACTTATAAACACTTAATTTTAAACTAAGATGATAAAAGTCAAAATTATAAATTAAGATTTCTTAACTTAAAAGAAATGTAGAATGTAAATTACTAAGAAAAATAGACACAATTTTATTTTATAGAGAGAGATCATACTTTCTTACAAATATTATTTTTTTTTTCTATCAAGAGATCTAGATGAAAAAAAATGGTTATGAAGGAAATAATGAGCTTTGTGATGGAGACAACTGCTTTTAATATAATGATCAACTAATATGGAAGGAGTACATGCGAAGATTATCATAAATTATCTCTATATAATTTTTAAAACTGAATAAATAAAATTGATTTCTTTTTTAAATA